GCAGCACACTCAATTGACGCCATATCTACAAACATTCAGTCCCTCCATCACTAACACTCAACAGCAGCGGTGTGTACTAGTTAGAAGATGCACTGCAGAAATTCACTAAAGCTCCTCAGCACCTTCCAAACCCAAAGCCCCTTACAGTGAGAAGGACAAGGAAACACTAACTCCTGCAAGTTCCCCTCTCAGCCATCACCATCCTGACTTGGAAATATATCACCATACACTCAGTGTCACTGGGTCAAAATCCTGAAATTCACTCCCTAATACCAGTGTGAGTGTACCTACACCAAATGGACTGCAGCTGTTCAAGAAGGTAGTTCATCTTCACCTTGGATGGGCCATAAACGCTAGCCCAGCAAACAACACCCACATCCAATGGCAAATGACTAATAGCAAAAAAAAATGTGTTAATATCTGGACCTCTGTGTGATTCATGAGTTCTACGTATTTCCTTTATTCACTAGATACTGGTTTTGCTGACAAGGTAATGATTTATTGCCTGTCCCTAAACAGCTTAGATAACACTGAGCAATTCCCTAAGGCATTTCAAAGGGATTTTAAGAGTCAAACATATTGCTGCATGTCGGGCGTCACTCCTAATCCAGCCCAGGCAAGGATGGCAGATTTTCTTCCCTGTAGGACATTGTATTTTTGTAATAGTCTATGATTACCATTACCAGTATCAGTTTTACATTCAAGTCATGAATGGTGTTGAGCAATTAACTAACAAATGGGAGAAGGAGACTCCACAGCATCTCTCTCCTCCATTATGGGAGAAATCCAACATACAAGTGCAAAAGTTTAGGCTGAAGCATTTGTAAACACCTCCAGCCAAAAGTGCAGAGTGGATGACCTGTAAGGTTGTTGACTTGCTCACCGAGCTGGCTTATTCTTGATCAGATGTTTCGTCACCATGCTAGGTGTTATTGTCAGTGGAGCATCTAATGAAGCAATGTCATTCTACTCCAGTTGGAATTTATACTGTCTGGTCTGTTATGGTAAGTAGTGTCATGTCTGGTTTTGATCTGTATGGGCTTGTATATGGGGTCCAATTCTACAAGTTTGTTGATTGCATTATGGGTGAAAAGTAGGGAGCGGGATGGGTAGGAGTCAATGATAGGATAAATGATAGAGGCTGAAGAGAGAGAAGAGCAGTTGGATAAACAAAGGAGATGATAACAATTTGGCTAGGAGTGTGAATAGCTGTTAATGGGGACTGCTAGTAAGCTAACAATAGGTAGTGTGTAATAGCAGGCCATGTGATAATAAGGCCTGGTGTGTGGGATAGGGGGCGGGGACATGCGAGAGTTTAAGCCCTAAAATCATTGAACTCGATATTGAGTGTGGAGGGCTGCAGGGTCCCCAAGCGGAAAATGGAGCACTGCAGCAAACCTGAGGCAGAGATGTTGGCCAGGGAACTGGGTGGTGCATTAAAATGGCAGGCAACTGGAAGCTCAGGGTCTTTTTTGCGAGCAGAACATAGATGTTCTGCGAAGCAGTCATCCAGCCTATGCTTCGTTTCCCCAGTATAGAGGAAACCAAATTGCGAATGCAGTAGACTAGAGTCTGGGAGGTGCAGGTGAAGTGTTGCTTCACTTGGAAGGTATGTTTGGGCCCTTGGATACTGGGGAGGGAGGAGGTAAATGGGCAGGTGTTGCACCTTCACTGGTTGCAGGGGAAGGTGCCATGGGGCTGTAGGAGGTGTTGGGGGTGAAGGAAGACTGGACCAGGGTGTCCCGGAGGGAGCTGCCCTGCGGAAGGCGGACAAGGGAGTGGACGGGAATACGTGTCTGCTGGTGGCATCTTGCTGGAGGTGGCAGAAATGGCATCTGATGATCTTATGGATGTGGATGCTGGTGGGGTGGTAGGTGAGGATAAGGGGAACCCTATCGCTATTGCAGGAGGGAAGAGACGGAGTGAGGTCAGAAGTGCAGGAGATGGGTCAGACCCCGTTGAGGGCCCTATCAACAACGGTGCTGGAGAATCCTTGGTTAAGGAAGAAGATGGACATTTTGGAGGCTCCCTAGTTGAAGTTGCCTCATCTGAACATATGCAACGTAGATGGATGACCTGAGAGAATGGGATGGAGTCTTTACAGGAAGCAGGATGTGAGGATGTATAGTCCAGATAGCTGTGGGAATCAGTGGGTTTGTAGTAGATATTGGTGGCCAGTCTATCCCCAGAAATGGGTGAAGATGGGTTTGGCCAAGTGGAGGAGTATGGTGGTGGGTGGAGACAATTCAGGTCTTTGCTCCAGGAAGAAGCGGAGAGCCCTAAGACCCTCCTGGTGGGGAATGGATGTGTAAAGGGATTGCACATCCATGGTAAAGAGGAGGTGGCTGGAACCTGCAAACAGGAAGTTTTGAAAGCAGCATAAAGCGTCAGAGGAATCATGGATGTATGTGGGCAGGGATTGGACCAAGAGGAGAGAAGACTGAGTCAAGGCAGGAAGAGAGAAGTTCTGTGGGGCAGGAGCAGGCTGAAACAATGGATCTGCCTGGACAGTCCTGTTTGTGGATTTTTGGAAGGAGGTAAAAGTGAGCTGTGCCAGGGCTGGGGGACTATCAGCTTGGAGGCGGGGGGCGGGGATCACCAGATGAAATGAGATCAGTTACCACAGTTTATACAATGGCCTGATGTGTCATGGTCCAGGGGAAGATAGGAGGAGGTATCTGAGAGCTGGCACTCAGTCTCTGCAATGTAGAGATCAGTACGCCAGACTACAACAGCACCACTCTTATCAGCAGGCTTAATAACAAAGTCAGGGCTAGATCTAAGTGCATAGACTGCAGTCAGTTTGGAGGGAGATAGGTTGGATTGGGTGAGGGGGGACAGAGAAATTGAGGTGACCAATATCATGTCGACAGTTCTGAAATGAACAGATCGAGTGCAGGTACAAGGCTGGAGGGAGAGTGTTGAAACTGGGCAAGGGGGTCTGTGGGGCGGCTGGATGACTCTTGTCCAAAGAAATGGGCACGGAGGCGAAGACAGCGGAAAAAGAGTTTGATGTTACGTCATGCCCAAAATTTGTTAAGGTGGGGGCGCAGAGGAATAAAGCTGATACCATGGCTGTGTACAGAATGTACAGCGTTGGAAAGCAGAAGGTTGGGGGGGATGGTGAATACCCAAAAGGAGGTGGGTTTGGGGGAGGGGATGGAGTCAGAAGGAAGGGGAGGAGAGAAAGGTTCTAGAAGGCCATGTGTATCTCTGAGTTGTTGTATTTTGTGGGCCTCGATGCCTGAAAAGAAAAGAAAAAAAAAAGTTTCTTGTTAGCACGATGAATGAGCCGGAGGATGAAGTGGAACTGTGGAGTGGTACAACCCTGAGCCAGTGTGATGCAATGCTGTTGGAGAGAAAGGGCGAGAGTATGCATGTGACGCCGCATGGCAGTGTTGCCAGGCCTGCTGAACTTTTCCAGCAACTTCTGCTTTTGTTCCTGATTTACAGCATCCACAGTTCTTTCGGTTTTTCAGTTACTTTGTTAGGTCTTCTATAAATATCTGAAGAAACTTCTCCTATCGATTGTTATATTTTTGGCTAAGATATGACGTGAATGAAAGTTGTTTCTTATGCAAAAATGGAAATTAATTTCCTACTCATATTGCAGTTTCACCCAAACTCGAGAACATAAAGAATGAGCAGGAGTAGGGCAGTTTTTCAGATTAGCCTACACTGCCTTTCATTGTTAGGAACAAAAACAGAAGTTGCTGGAGAAGCTCAACAGGTCTTGCAGCCTCTGTGAAGAAAAATTCAGAGTTAACGCTTTGGGTCCAGTGACCTTTCTTCAGAATGAGTCGCTGTTCATTGTAATCATGACTAAACTTCTGCATCGACATCCCTCTGTCCCCATAAAGTCCAAAATTGTATTAAACTCATTCATGAATGTACCCTTTAACAAAGTATCCATAACTCTCTGGGACAGAGAATTGTAAAGATTCACAATCTGAATAAAGAAACAGCTGACCCCATGTTCTGATGCTTTCATAGAATCCCTACAGTGTGGAAACAGGCCCTTCAGCCCAATAAGTCCACACCAACCCTCAGAGCATCCCACCCAGACCCATTTACCCTATCACCCACCCAATCTACACATCCCCGAACACTATGGGTAATTTAGCATGGCCAATCCACCCTAGCCTACATATCTTTGGACTGTGGGAGGAAACCGGAGCACCCGGAGGAAACCCACGCAGACACAGGGAGAATGTGCAAACTCCACACAGGCAGTTGCCCAAGGGTGGAATTGAACCCAGGTCCCTGGCGCTGTGAGGCAGTAGTGCTAACCATCTCAATGTGATCATCTTTCATTATTCTAAATATCACAGTATATACGTTCAATTGAATGAGCACACCCTTCCCAGCCCAGAAATTAATCCACTGAACTTTCATTGCACTGCCTTTGAGCGAATCATATCTTTATGTATGGAGATCAAAATTGTACACATTAATCCACGGTAAATCTCAAAAATCTCTATAATTTTACCGATACTTCCTTAGTCTTATTCGCCAATCATGTCATAATAAAGGATGAGAGATCATCTGCTAAAGAAAGACTGAACCTGCTGGGGGGAATCACAATACTCAAGCCACTTACAGTTGAATAATATTTGAAAATAATACAGATAGTACAGACTGCATTCTAATGAAAAGAATTTGCCGATTAAATTCTGATGTGAATAGCAAACTAAGTGGATAAAGAACACTTTGCAGAACATCTCTTAAGAACACAAGAAGGCGTAAGAGGAGATTAAATGAGCCACCTTGCTGTACATCATGCAAAATTTAACCTCTATTATAAATTACTTTGACCCACTCCGATAAACATTTTCATCCCGTTGCTATTAGAAAATCTACAATTTTAAAAGATGATGAAATACAGGAAAAAAATTGCTGTATTCCTGGAAGCAGGCAAGGTGTGTTGGGTTCATAATTTTCTTGTCGCCCAGATCATCAACTTGGAAACTTTTAAAATTCTATATGTAAACAGGCGACTGCTAAGCAATTCCTTTAATTACCAGTAAAAAGCTCAGTAACAAAAGGAGCATTGCTCCCACTGTGTCAGCAAAGTTTGGGATGATTACTGGAGACTTAACAAAAGTGTTGAACCCATATTCCAAATAACACAGTTGATCATAAACAGTCAGGAAACTAAACAAATGGAACCATTGATGACTCTGTCCTATCACATCAAACTGACCTGGCCAAAACCTCTCTGGAATTCTGCTCACATTAAACATGATCGCGAACAGAAGCCATGTGCGCTGTCTCCAAAAATGAAAAAATATGTGTGGATTTTTTAAAGGAAAGTCAAAATAAAAAATATCTATGAATATGGGCACTGACACGCTGAGTGGAATGAGAAACACGATTGCTCTGACTGTGTAGCGATATTGTGCCCAGTCAATATAACTTTTGCAAATGATAATAGTGCAAATGACGAGCAACGATAAAGTCCCGGGAATACAGAAAGCAGAATAAAATTTGACCACATCAGTGTATTCTGTACATTGTCCACTCTTTTCCAGCAGAATAGGGTTCATGACAGTCAGCAATGGGAATATATAGTAGTAACAGGCGATGGTGGATCCAAACCCATAAACGTTGAAGGCGACGTAATCCAAGTAGTAGAAGATGTGACGGAGCTGCTGTGAGAGAGTGTTAAATAAATGTGCGGCGCAGCTTTCAGCAAAGATTGTTATGACCCCAAATCCAAAGCACCACATCGGTAAAAGGAATGAATGATCATAGCGAACCTCCTCGTTCTTGAAGAGTAATTGATCAAAGCGATACAGAAAAAATATCAATGGGATGCAATGAGACCAAAAGTTAAATGTTTCGTTTGTGGGTTGCAAGACAGAACGCAAGCACTCGGCGACTGTAGAATTCGGTCTTCGGTATCTTGTAACGATAAAGCACTCACGCATTTCCCTGGGTATTTCTTCACAAGCAAGGAAATCGATCCTCTGCCTTCGATACATCCTGCTTGTTATTGCAATTAACGATGACAATTGATCTGAAAAGTTCCTTCTCCCTCCAGTGCTAGGTGGTCATGACGCTGTTTTGTACTTACACCGTGTAACCACAAAAGGTGCACAGGCACGGGATTGGCAAAGGCATCTGTTTACAGCAAAATTGTGGCGATCAACATCTGGATGAGAGGTGAGGGTCAGAGCCTGGTGGCTGGTACATCCCGCAGAGCTGTGATGTACACTTGCTGTTGCCAGACCTTTCGTTGTGATGTCACAAAAGATGTTGAACAAATTCTTCACAAACTTTGAAAGGTTCGAGGCTGAGCGTTGCATATTTTATTCTCTTGTACTCAGTTGTGAAGGAATATTGACTGGAATAATAAAGGCTAACGACAGAAAGGCGAACGCGGTTCCTATATTTGAAAGGGACAGGGATTCGCATCACGTCGGGTGTTTGGAAAGGTGAACCCTGTGTTACTGTCCGCGCAGATGCTTCTCAGTGTTAGACACCAGATTAAAAGCAAAATACTGGAAATCTGAAATAAAAATAGAATATGCTGGAGACACTCAGCAAGTCTGTATGTAGAAGAGTAATACGGGATTCGAAATGTTAACACTGTTTCTCTCTCCACAGATGACCTGCTGAGTTTCTCCAGCATTCTCTGTTTTTTATATTCGATTGCCCCTTTGTCTCACTGAGCCCAATGTTGGTGAAGACTCGGCTCCTCGGTTATAGACTGGGGATGCAAGCTGAGGCTCCCTGGATTGTAACACTGACTTAAACACACCCTTTACTCACTGCCCGAGAGGTGACCTTAATAGAGGTTTATAAAATCATGAGGGGGCATGGATAGGGTGAATGGTCAAGGTCTTTTCCCAAGGGTAGAGGAGTGCAAAACCAGAGGGCATAGGTTCAAGGTGAGAGGGTAAAGATTTAAAAGAGACCTGAGGGGCAACTTTTTCACGCAGAGGGTGGTGTGAGTAGGGAATTGGCTGCCAGAGGAAGTGGTGGAGGCTGGTACAATTACAACATTTAAAAGGCATCTGGATGGGTATATGAATGGGAAGCATTTAGAAGGATATGGGCCAAATGCTGGCAAATGGGACTAGATTAATTTAGGATATCTGGTCTGCGTGGATGAGTTGCACTGTAGGATTTGTTTCTATGCTGTACAACTCTGTGACTTATTTCAGTACCACGGATGTTAAACTCACGTTGAAAATTAAGCAAGAAAATGCAAGAGACCAAATATTTTAACTCTTTGTCTTGACTACAATAACGTATTTACAAAATACACAGCAACTGTGCCAACCAAAACATTTTTTTTGTGAGTTTCTTCCACATCTTTAACAAATTAATTACTTGGTTCTTTACTTTTTTTATGGTAGACTGAAACAGCAAGCTCCCAAACAAACATAAAAAGAAAGTGCTGGAGAAATGTCTCTCAGTCTCTGTGGAGAGATAAACAAAGCTAACGTTTCGAGTCCAGTGACCCTCAAAGGATCAGATGTCCAGCATCCACAGTTCTTTATTTTTGTTAAGCTTCCAAACAATTCAGCTTGTGGCTGGTGCTCTGCATAAATCAACAAATAATTAAAAATTTTTAAAGTTAATCGCAGCTGGATTAGGAGGTTTGAATTTTTCAACTGTTTGGTCAACAAGCTTTTATTATCACAGCTCGAGATCACACATGATAAGGAAAAACGTTGTCACTGGGAGAGATTAAACTATCCTGTGAATGGAATTAGGATTTAAACTGTTCCAGATTGTGAGGAGAAACTGTTCCCATTGACAGAAGGGTTGTGAACTAGTTGACACTGATTTGGGGTAAAAGATAAAAGAACCAAAGATAACATGAGGAAAAACGTATTCATGCAGCAGGGCTGTTAGGATCTGGAATGCATTGGTCGAGGTCAGTTCTTCTGTTGTCTTTAAAGGGGAATTTGATAATTATCTAAAGAAAGGAAACATACTGGCTTCTGGTATGGGGAATTGAGTCAGCTTTGTGGACAGGATGGTGCAAATTGCTTCTAGCTGTAACTATTCTATACTGGAATTTTTACACCATAAATTAACACAGATAAAGAACTATATAGAAGTCAAAATTGTAATAAAGAACTGTCTGCATAGATTTCAATAGGAATGGCATAGCTGATGAATTATTGCATTATGTATGGTATAATTTGCCAATCCCCAAAAATTGCAAGATGCCATCATGTTTCTCAGTCAGTGTCTGTTTCTTGCCAGATACAGCAGTTTGCTTTCAGTTCAATGAGACAGGAGCAGTACTAGATATGGTTCCTGAGTGAATACTGTGCACATGTCTTTACTACAGAAGAAGAGTCCTTAAGAAAAGGAAATTGAGTTGCTGGAAGGGTTAAAAATTGATGATGAGGAGACATAGGTTGTCTGGATTTAAAGTAGACAAGGCACTGGGATTGGATGAGGTAAAAACGGTGAGTCTGAAAATTACGGAAGCACTGGCAATAATTTTTCAGTCTTCTTTAGTCTTGGGTTGTGCCATGGAACTGGAGAATTGCAAACATTATGCCCAGTTTCAAAAAGGGTAGCCTAGCAAATAAACATGAGTCAGATTAAGTTGGTCGTGGGAAAAGTTCTGGAAAAAACAATTCAGGACATAATTAAGAGAGACTTGGTAAGGATATGTGCAAAGTATGTATTTAATACCTTGCTGTGGTCTCTTCTTCCATGTATAAGTACCAGTTTTTTTGTCTCTGATTGTTTCCATTCCTCCTTTTACCATTCTTTCACTATTTAAATGTGGGTCAATTCAGGAGACCCAACGCTGATTTCTTTACAGAAAGTCATCTAATTGACTTGTTGAAGTTTTTTGAATCAGTAAAACAGTTGACGAGGAAGTAATGATTTTAAACATGGACTTCCAGGGGTGGCAGGTAGTTCAGTGGTTAGCACTGCTGCCTCACAGCGCTAGGTTTGATTCCAGCTTTGGGTGACTGTCTGTGTGCTGTTTGCACATTGTCCCTGTGTCTGCATGGGCTCCCCCTGGGTGCTGTGGTTTCCTCCCATAGTCCAAAGATCTGCAGGTTAGGTGGATTGGCCAAGCTAAATTGCCCATGGTGTCCAGGGATGTGCAGGCTAGGAGGATTAGCCATGAGAAATGCAGGGTTACAGAGATAGGGTAGGCAGGTTTGTCTGGGTGGGATACTCTTCGGAAGGCAGTGTGGACTCAATGAGCTGAATGGCCTGCTTCCACATTGTCGGGATTCTATGATTCTATGAAAGCATTTGATACAGAGCCACAGAACAGACTTGTGAATGAAGTTAGAGCTCTTGGAATTAAAAATGGCAGTAGCAAACTGAATGCAACTTTAGCTGAGTGATAAGAAATGCAGTAATGGTTTATGCATATTTTTCAGGTTGGAGAAAAGTTTGTGGTAAAGTTCCCGAAGGATCAGTGCTGGGACCCTTGTTTTTCCTGATATACTTGGTTTGTCCTTGGCGCACAGGGAACAATTTCAAAATTTGTGAATAAACAAAACTTGGAAGCATTGTAAACTGTAAGGCGGATAGTTTATAACTTCAAAAGGAAACAAATGAGTTGGTAGGGTAAGCGAAGTTCAATGTGGAGAAATTTGAGGTGATATATTTTGGGATCGTAGAGAGAAAATATAAAGTGTGGAGGACAAGTAATTCTGAAGGGGTCCAGGAGCAGAGGGACCTGGGTGTATAAATTATGCAATACCTGTGAGCTTCCGCTAGATTTTAGAATGTCCACTGTAAAGAGTACTGTGTGCACTTGCTTACATAGTTACCTTTATTAGGAAAAACCAAGAATAAATATAGGTATGCTTTAACAGAGGCTAGTGGTACTGCAATAGTGAGCCTTCTTATGTGTACTGGCAACTAATGAAATGTCAAATCTAATTTATTTAGTTTTATTTGATAAATGTATCAATCCTTTCACCTTCTCAGATTCTTGGTCTGATGGGTCACAGTTGGAATTGACACTTTCAACCTGTTGTTAGAAGGCATATCATAATGGCCTAGGAATGTCTCTGTCCCTCATTTCCTTTTCATCCAGAAGGAGGAATGTGCTCTTCAACCAAGTTCTAATATATCCCGTTGTCTCCACCATCAACTGCCCCACCCCCATTAAATGGAGAGCAAATAGGACTGGGCTTTGAACTGATATTTGTGTACTGTCGTACAGCCTCTATCGGAAATATCTTTTCTGTTTGTTAATCTTCATATTATTGCAATCACTTAATGATATAATGTTTTACTTTTGAATATTTCACACAGAATTTTACACAGTGTGCAATTCTTTTTGCTTACATTATTATTTTTATAAATACAGTTGTTTATAAATACAATTGATTATTACTGCAGCTATTAAGTGACTCTTGGACAAATGTTGCAAGGGATGAATGATGTTTTTTCAAACAGGGATGTGGACTTTGCTAACAATTTATTATCCATTCGTAATTGCCCTTCCAAAGGTGGTGGGGAGCTACCTTCTAGAACTGATACATCCACAGTGCAACTGGTAGATGGTGCAAACTGCTGCTACCATGTGCTGCTGATGAAGCCAGCAAATTTTTAAGGAAGTGGATGCGGTGTCAGTGCTTTGTCCTGGATGGTGTTGAGTTTTTTTGAATGGTTTTGGAGTTACATCCTACCAGGTAAGTGGAGTGTATTCCACCACAATCCGGTCTTGTGCTTTGTAGATAGTGGATAGGCTTTGAGGTGTCAGGAAATGAATTGTTTAGAACAGATTTTGCACCCTTTGGCCTTCTCTGGAAGACAGTATTTATTTCACAGATCCAGTTAAATTTCTGGTCAGAAACAAAAACAGAAATAGTTGGAGAAACTCAGCAGGTCTGGCAGCATCTGTAGAGAGAAATCAAAGTCAACATTTCCAGTCCAGTGACTCTTCTCCAGCTATTTCTGTTTTTGTTTCAGATTTCCAACATTCACAGTTGCTTTGTTTTTTGTTTAGTAAATTTCTGGTCAGTATTGACTCCCA